GTAAGGAAACGCACATGCTCGACGAACGAATGGTTACCTAACGCCGGGGAAACAGAACGCGGTAGCGCAACGTATGGCACTGGGCTGCTCAGGGTTCGGGTTCGAGACGTCTGCAGCTGACCTTGCGACAGCATTTCGTTGAAGTGGCGCTCATCCTCCATCTCCAAGCTTGACTCGGATTCGGATAAATGTCGGCAAAGTTGTTCGCGACGTTCGACTTCAAGCTGCAGCTTTCGCTGTAACCGTACATTCTCGTCACGGATCTGCTGCTCATCCCGTGCGTACTGCGCCATTTTCTGGCTATCTGAAAACCCGCCAAAGTTGATATATGTCATATGCCACAGATCACAATTTAATTCTAGAAGAACACCAAAGCAAATATTTGAATCATGGCGAAAATAAGCAACGTAAAAGCCGGAAACGTTTCGATAAACAGTTATATCCCAAAATCATGAATATACACTAGTGTCAATAAATACGTCACGTAAAAAATTATTCTGAGCATGAAAATTTAACAAATGTTTATAAGGGTTAGAGTTTAGTAATTAAGTCTAATATTAAGAATCTTTATGGAAAGGATACAACAGAATATTAACTAGCAGTTGCCACTGACGCGTAACTTTTCACAGACTAAATATTGTGTGCCACGTTATTCTGATAATGAAGTTACTAAACGGTTACACCAAATCAATCAAGTCAAATTTAAATACTTTCACATAACAAAATGTTACTTTTACTATTATTACAGATACTAATAAAGGGGTTAATAAAGGTGAAACTTACATGGTAAAGACTTTTATTGACCAGTCAACGCGTTACATTACCATACTTATTTGAATCATACGTTACATACATGCATTCATACGTTAGACATGCATACGTTACCTGCAAAGTGGTAATCTGCCTATACCAGTAAACTTAAGTTTACTTCCATTTCGGTTCATACGGGTATGGAGTGTCACTGCTTTGCTTTTCAGTTCAGTACCGGTATGTGTGGCTTCTACATAGTGCCTAAGCCTCAGCCTAAATCAAAAGCCACGGCGTAAACTTGTGCAGGCAACAATGCTACGGCTTAGGTATAAGGTTAGGTTTAGTAATAATCCAGTAAAGCCGTTGTATTACCGGCCTGAATTCAAGC